TTATATTTGAACTCTACACTGTTTTTGCTTCATTGTGCACCACAATTTTGGACCAAATTTGAACCTTACGAGATCTTTGTTCACATTTCAGAAACATTCAACTGGGCCACTTCTACAGTAACTTCACATCATCACTGTTGCAATTTCTACACTGTAGCTTATGTGCATATTACATTAAAACCTTTGAATCTTGAATCTCGAATCTTGATGATAATAATAGGTTTCATGTTTAAAAACCTGTTGCTGCATGTCAGAAACATATAGTGGACTTGAACATTAAATCGGGGTTACCAAACCCGGAGAAAAAACAGTTTTAGAAGGTTTTTCGCTTATTTTTCTTTTTTTACTGTTAGTCTCTTCCTGTCTCCCATTCTTTGCATCTGTCTTTCATTTATATGTCAACTTTCAGCCATCTTGGGATCTCTGGTCTGTGTTTAGAGGGGAAACGCTGGGTTGCTGTGTTTGTCAAATTACTCCTTCCCTCTTTACTCCTTCCCTCTCGCTCTGCTCCATAGTTGTCCCATATTTTTCTTTCTCTATTTCTGCTGCCATGGTTGTTTTCACGCACGCACGCACACGCACACGCACACGCACACGCACACGCACACGCACACGCACACGCACACACACACACACACACACACACACACACACACACACACACACACACACACACACACACACACACACACGAGAGGTCATGTCTTGCTCAGAAATCACTGGGAGCATTTAGGAAATCTAAATGTGATAACAATTTAATTGCTCTCAGTCCGTCAGTCTTGTTTCTCACTTTCCCTCAAAGGATTCATCTTCCAAATGTGTGAGTGTGTCTCTGGACGGCAAAAGAGCGCTGAGTTCTCAACAGAGGAAAAACACCCAGGTTAAACATCTTATTAAAACATAAACAAATGAAAGAATTACACATGCTCGTACAGTACATCCTAATGAACACAGCATTTTCTTGTAGGAATGTATTGGATACACCGACACACACACACACAGATTATACTGCAAAGCTCTGCTATAGTTCCCAAAGGAGAACGCATGGCTATTTTCGACACTGTGGAGGACTTAATACCCTGTGAGAGAGAGACAGTTTATTGAGGTGTAGAATAACACAGACAATTTTCTCTGGACTGATGGAGATTCTGGGATGTTGCTGGTAGGATCATTTGCATGGTGACAGGGCAAGACAAATCAAATATTAAGGAACATTTTATGAAATAGCTTTGACAGGAAAATTGATGCAACTCATGTCTTTTTACACATTTTTAGTTTCAGTGTGCAGCTTAAAGATGTGAGTGCAGGTAGAACAGCTGGCCTAAATCTTTCCAAATGTAAATACAATCTGCCGACTAGCACAGTTTATCTTATCTTGTTGGTTCAATCTGTACAAAAGTGTTAAAATAGAAATAAACAAATAAGCTCTTACATACAGACACAAGACTGGTATGGATTTGCTCAAACATCCTCACCAAGAAAGCGAATGAAACTATTCCTCTATGGTTAAATGAGATTATACTACAAAGCAGTGCTTCACACATGAACATTTGTCCCATTATGGAAGAAATATATTTTAGGAATGAAAGAGAGTATGGCAAGGGTATTCAAATGCAAATACAGAGCCAAACGATCCATGAGCTTCCTGCAGTGACCTCGAAGGCAACGGAAAAAAGCAGGAAGATGAGAAGAAGATAAGGCGAAGAAAAAAGATAAAGAAGAGAATATTAAAGAGAAGGAGATGCCCAGGGCAACAAAGCGAGATTGCAAAAGATAAAACAGGTAAAAAAATAGAGATAAACAGAAGAAAAGCGCGACAAATGAGAGAAAAGAGCGAGAGTGTATGTATCATAAAGGTGAAAAGGGAGAAAGCAGAAAGCAGCTGGTATGGTGATTTTTTGGTCATGTGAGTTTGGGTTGGACATAAATCTGTCATGTCATAGTTTTGTCTAGGGAAGAGGTCAAGTTCAAGCTTAAATGAAAATTGAATAAACTCACCAGGGATCATTTGTATTCTGCAGCCACATCGTACTTTTTTTTTATCATAAAAAAGTATGAAAGTGGATGAAACTCAATGAATGTCTAGACTAAAAATATGCATTTGCTAATACACGTTCTGCCTCAAAAGTCAAATATCTTTGGAATTGGAAATAAAAATGTTGGCAGAAGTCTGACAGTGACTCATAACCTCAACAGTCATGTGAGCACTTATTTTAACGGGAGTAGGCCTTTGCTCTTAGGAAGTGGCCGATGGCTCATTGTGAAACCTGTTCAGACCGGACTGAAAGAAAATGTAAGAAGAAGAATCTTAGTGTTGATTTGCTGTTAAAGTGAATTTGGTAGTAGGTTGATTAAGCATTATAATTCCAAACAACTTGTTAAATATCTTCATTCATAATCTGTATCCAACATAATTCTTGACAGGAGAAAAACTTAATTGCATCTGAACTATGACTTCTACATATTTATTAAATGTTGTTCCCCTCCAGTATATCACATGTGTTGCTGACAGCGTTTCCTGTGATTACTCATTACATGTAAGGGCCACAGCTTCTTTGTCTCATCTGGTCTGTCTGGTCTGAAAGACAATGTTAAAATGTAAGACTGTTTAAGACTTTGTATGTGTTCTACCTGGTAAGCCAACTTCTGTGCGTTTTTGTTTTATTTGTGGGTGTACACAAGTATGTGTTTCTGTGTACACTTGGTCAATTTTTTCTTATATAATGAATTCTTTCCAAAGTCACCAGAAGGTCTCAGACTGCGAAGTGACTCATCCTCTCCTCGTGGACAGTAGCAGCAGAAAGCTGGACTCCAGCGCCATCTCCTGTACAGTCTGTGGAAGAGCAATTCTGAAAGACAAAAATTAACACATTTTTTATTTTTTATTAACTTGGTTTGTTTGCATGGTCATGTGTTTTATATGTATTTATTACATGTATGTTATATATATGCTGTTCTTTTTCATCTGCAGATCCATGTAACTTTTCCTTAAACTTGAATGAGGGGAAAGTTGCCACTGCATTGAAATATGGGAAAATTGGGTTCATAATTCTCGGCCCCTGCGATTTAACCATTCAAATGTTCTACATACAAATCCTCAGTATCTTCAACGGACATGCTGAGTCAAAACAATGCTGCTAAAAACAAAATACACACAAATGTGACCCGCAAAACTCTAAATATTCTGCTTAAATGTTTTCTCAAGTTTCTGTAAATCCATGCCAATGTCATACATACAATATATCACTGCAACACTAGTGGTGCAACATTAATTCATGTATAGCAGGGGTGCCCAACCTCTTTTGAACCGAGAGCTACTTTTAAAGTTGCCAGTCTGCCGAGATCTACCAGTCCAAATAGAGAGGCGTAGCCATTACTGACAGCCTAGTAAATACACACTTCCACTTGTATAAAACTGACCTTTGTACGATTAATACTTCATAAAATACTGCAGATCCTTTATCTTACCTCTTTCTAATCTACACACATACAAGTATTTAACTGAAGTTACACAACAGTGTTGTTGATACAGAGTTGGAGTTTATTCACACGTCACATACTACAGTGGGTAATGTTTTCAAGAAACATTGAACAGTGCTGCCACATATGACACAGGAAAAAAAGAAAAGACACAGAACCCTTTCTTTGCCATTATATAAAAATAGTGTTGCTACAAAAGTATAAATTAGGCTTACTAATAAGACAACTCAAATCTGAAGCTACACAGGAATCTGCTGCCAAAGTGCAATAAAAAAGACAAAATTAATAGAATCAAACCCTTTTTTGTTGCATTTTAGTAGAGTATAAAAAGAAATGCCTTTAAAATAGGATGCAAGCAACACTAGTTTCTTAACCTGAATTGATAATAGACTATAATCAATTTAAACAGAACAGATCTTAATGTTTGCATTCTTATACCATTTTGTACAATAATTATAATGAATAAGTTCAAACAAACTAAAACTTACAGCTGATTAATAACGGTATCTAACTTGAGTTTTTATTATATCAAAAACCTGTTGAAATGCTACTGTTATTTTTACTGTCCCCATAAAGCGCGTCGGCAGCCTCCAGGAATGCTTCTTTCACAACTTCGCCGTCTTTGAATATAATAGATAATAAATAGAATAAACCATCAGTCAATCATTTACGAGGGCCTGTCAATGATAAACTGATGGTGTTCCACCTTTGTCAGGTAGATTGGAGATGGGAGGACTGTAATTATGAATCAGGAGTGCAGCAGTTAAGGCAAGGCAAGGCAAGGCAAGGCAAGGCAAGGCAAGGCAAGATCCAACCTGCAGTCTGATTGGATTGTGCCCGAGCCTAAAACCACTGTAAACAGGGCAAATGTAATTATAGTCGGGCCAAAGACTGTAAAAATAAAGAGTGGGACTGTTAAACTGCTTTTCAGCAATACAACAATCTGTTGGCAGGCAAAGACTATGTGTAAAGGTAGGATGTATCCGTTGTGTTATGGCAAACTTTCAGGGAAGTATAACTATGTTATACAAACAATAACCAAAAAGGTAAAAGATAGGGTAAATTCTAGCTTTCAAAATGTGCAAAAATGCAACAAAAATATAATTGACAAGAAGCAGAAAACTAACAAACCAGCAGACAACAATCTTATTCAAAACTTTTCAATAAATGAAAAATAATATTTGAGAACAGGAAAAAATAAAATAAAAATACATATAGGCCTACATATACAAGAAATGTACATGTTGAATGTGTTCAAGTTGATAATGGAGAAAAAGTCCAGAACATATTCTCATATGAACACACACATCTGATATATTTATTACGTAAATATATATTAATGTCATACACAAAACAAATGTTCAGTTTTCTGTATCGTGAAACACTTGTGAATATTTTAAAATGATCAAATCTCACAAATAATTTTGGCAGCAAATACAGTTTATGAAAATTTGAGGGGTACACCAAACAATAATGTTTTTTCAATGTCCCTTTGTTACTTACTGCCAAGTTGTGCAGTATTTGTGACTGATACACCAGCACATCCGTTTCTTATTCTTTTGAAAAGTTGTCAGTTGTGGGTTTTATACTTATTATTGAAATTCTGTATAGTTTAAGTCAGCATTGGAAATAATTATATGATAAAATAACAAAAGTAGATATATATCTAGACGTGAACATTCGGAGGTTGAAATTCGAGGCCTTATGTGTAAAGTGAGTTCTGGTTAAGTGCAATAAAGTTATACAAAATTCTATCTCAATATTCTATCATATCTGTCTCATCACCAGTTTATGATTTTCCTCACACGTCCCCACAGCTTAGTGAGCCACAGGTTTACCCCCAAGTCTGTCAGATATTGAATTTCCGGGGTTAACATCTTTCGGCACAACTCCTCATAGGCTTTATCTACATTTCTGTTCAAATTGTATCCTTCAATAGACTTCTCTCCAACGGGCTGCCACGGCTGCATGGCAGCATCATGAATACTTCCAGCCTCCACAGAGTGGCCTCCCTCGATGCAGATCTTCACCAGTTCTGCGTTCCTCCTCCTGAGCTCTTCAACATCCTCTTCCATTTGTTTTCTACCGTAAGCCTCTACCTTCTCCCAAAAGGTCAGGTTAAAATGTCTATAGAGCTTCCAGTCAATGCTGTTCCACTGCAGGGCCTTTTCCCTGAGCTCAGGAGTTAGTTTAGGTACAGTGGATTTCATACGGGAGTTGAGCTTGAAGAAGAGTATGTCATCCATCTCCCAGCAGAGGGCATCTTTCAGCAGGATAAGGGACTCCTCAAAGTGCTCCATCAGCATGACTAAGTGAAAACGCTCAGCGATGACCCTGATGCTGTCCTCTACTCGTTGGTCATCTGCATCCAGAGTGTTGTCCTGCCCAAAGTCAAAGAACAACAGGTTCTTCAAGTAGAAGGAGCTAAATCCGCCCGGGCTGAAGTATTGTTTAGGATCACGCAGGAACTTGGCCATCTTATCCTCCCCTGGTATCCACCAGGTCAGAGGAACAACATGACCAAAGTAATGAAAGGAGGACTCAAAGAGCTCTGCAGGATCTCGCAGGATCGTCGTGTAGAAAGTGTCACGAGGCAGCACTTTTGCCACCTCAGGTGCATTGAATCGCATATGGTTACACATGATGTTAAAACACCTTCCAGATTGGTAGCCCTGAACGTATGTGCGCTGAAAAGATGAGGGGTAGTAGAAATCGTTCCGGCTGTTTGGGAAGGCAAATTTGAGATTGTGCTTCTCTCCAAAGCGTAACAAGATGTTGATGAAGGTGCTGCTGGCAGTTTTATGGGTCTTCATAAACATGATATCTACTTTAGGAGCACAGACGGTATTGTCTTGCTGCGAGCTGTTTGTGTTTTCCCTGCTGCTGCTCTGGCCCGTTCGTGAAGAGCAGGAGAGAGGAACTGGGAGCCTGGATAAAATCAACATGGGGAAATGATTAAGTGTCACAATAATGTATCACAGCTCATTTATAGAGATGCACTGACAACTAGAATATAAACCTCTGTGAAGTGAGGTTTACAGTGAAGAAAAAACAAACACATTTTTGTCTTATTTTTGTTCGTATCCACGATTTGTTCAAATTTGTAGATATCCATAGTTTTCAAGGATTCACCAATGCTTTCATATTCATAAACTTCTCTTAAGAGTACATAACTGAATGGGAAATCTGTAATAAGAAAGAAAGAGATATTGTTTCCATTATTATTCATCACTGCTTATTTTGTCCAATATTTATGTACTACTGAACATTTTTGTATTACACATCTTGCAGCCAGTTCAACAAAATCGTATTTTTAATTAAATACATTTTTTAATTAAATACATTTTTCTGTCAGTTTCCCAGACAGAGCAATATTAACAGTACCCATATGAATGTTATCTACAGTATAGATAAAGGCACCTGTAAATGATAGGTAAGGTGCTGAAACTAGACTATATAATGCGGTATAGATAAAAGATCAAAATGTTTGGAGTCCAAAGGAGAAGTATGTATCAACCTTTGCAACTTCTCTTCATCGGCTCACCTGCCAACAGTTAAAGGTGGGGTATGTAATTCATTTCAGAAACACTTTTTGTTATATTCCATGGAATGCTCTTAACATCCCGATAGCAATGAATATATGAAATGCTTTGACAATAAATACATACAAAAATGTCATCTGTGGAAGCCGTAGCGCTGTAAAAAGCACGACCAATCATTTTAGCCGGCCCAGCTAAAATAACTGGATGGCCTACCTGCCTGTCAGCCTTCCATCTGTGCACAAACTTATCTCGTGCCCTCATTGGTCATGTGCGCGTTCGTGTGTTGGAGGAGAGGCTCTGTAAGGAAGTTTGAAGGAAGAGGCAGATTTTTTCCGGTTGTTTACTTTCAAATTCTAGCGCACTTGAGCTGGTTTCTCCAAAATTACATACCCCACCTTTAAGGTCTCATTTGACTTGTGCCTTATTTCCTTTATACCAATTAATAGACTGTACACCTTCTCGTGTTTATGAAAGTTCTGTTTTATTTGCTGTCTGAAAGTCTTAGGCGGTGTTTACACGAGAACGAAACGGGTTGTATCTGCTACTTTTCTCTCGCGTATAGCCCGTTCGTTCACACGAGGCCGTAACGGAAACGCGGAAACGAACCCCGCAAACGATAACGGGTCCCAAGGTGGATAGATCTGCAAACGGAACGCTCTGGGGGGCCAAACGGCTCAGTGTGTACGCCCTATACGATCATTTCCTGATAACGATGTAGCCATAGCCCCACCTCTGCTGCTCACTGCTGTAGCATGGTCAGTAGCTACTGCTAGTGCTTCTGCTACTGACCATGCTACAGATGTTAGTGCAAAATCTACAGCTCGACCATGCTACAGATGTTAGTGCAAAATCTACAGCTCCTCTAGCACAACCATCAGCAACAAGTGGACATGGAGAATGACATGAACTACATGTTGCTAAATCTACCGCGGGGCATAAACAGAAGGGCAACCATGGCAACCATGCTCGGGGGTCTTCTTCGCTGCTTTTGGTGTATTTTGTGGCAGAAGTACAGCGCCACTTACAGGCTCGGCATATGTACTACAGCGTCTCCAGCGCTTACGAGCGGTCTTGTGCGGAAGTACAGCGCCACTTCCAGGCCCGGCATATGTACTACAGCGTTTCCAGTGGTCTCGTGTGAACGGACACGTTAAATGAGCCGAATGCGTGTGAACGGAAGACTTTTTTGATAACGAATTCGGTCCGTTTGCGTTTGCGCTCCCGTGTAAATGGGGTCTTACTCTGTAGTGTTGAAGTTGATCTGTATTGTTGAAAGAGCGTAGAACAGAGGGACACTGATGAGGAGGCAGCCCACAGCGACACGTTTGACCCCGAGCTGCCACCACTGCCTCTCTTGTTTTTGGAGCATGGTGACCAGAGACTGAAAGAGAATACCTCATGACAAAGCACAGCATGTCAGACTTCCCCTTCACAAATCACACACATCAACTCAGTTTATTTTAAATAGTTCCTCCACTGAATTAATCAGTAAAGATTAACAGGTAAATGCATGCTTGACTTTCACTTTGCTTTTAAATGAAGGAAAAAATATAACAATCCACGTGGGGAATTCTATAAATATATAAAATTACATAAGACATAAAAAATGTTTCAGTACATTTCCATTGCAGCACACGCCTTTGACGAAAACAAGTAAGTCTTTTATAAGTATATTTTATTAGTTTATTAGTATTATGATTAAAAAAATAAAGAAAATAAATAGAATATATTATTTGAAAATGTATGTTTATTATTAAATTATTTTTCAAATTCAAGAAATGTGTGAGATTATAGAATAAAATAGGCCACATTAGGTTAAGCAATTGTATATAATGCTACAGAGCAAACTCTCAGGGATCAAAGATGAGTTTTAACACTGTGAAAGCAAACAGAACTGAAACTCTTTTTAAATAATGGGTATTAATAAATGTATAAATGTTAGGTTAGGTTTAGGGTTAGTTTCATTCCTCACATTTAACACCAGGAAGTGTATGGAATATTTTATCTTCGATTGAATTCGATATATTCTATTATATTTTATTGTTGTCTGGTCTAGGTTAGTCTTTATTTTTTCATTTAGCTTTACTGACTGCATTTGCTATCATTTTGCACAGCCCTATGCCGAAGAACCACAAACATGCGATATCTAAAAAACTTCAGTTTAATTTAAATAAATGCCAAACATGGAAAACAAAAGGTAAACAATAAGTAATTAGACGTTGGAAATTTGATTCAATAGATGATAAAACATCATGTTATATTTGCGAAGGGAAAACCGAGCACTTACTATTTATGTGGCATGTCAGTCACTCTTCCTATCTTCCTCTCTTCCTCTCTTTCTCCTGCCATGACGGTTATTTCATATCTTATCTGTTTATGGCCTTGTTTATTGTACTGTGGATGGTACTGCGAGCTCGTACGTTGTTATCTCCATAGAAACTAAATCTGTCCTGTTTTGTGTTCCAATTGTGGAGTAGCGAAGGAAAAGGCAGAAAGCAGGAATGCCAGTTCTCACGATGAACTGCAGTACCCTTCCTGCCCAATACCAACCTGCCCCTACAGTGACCTCCGACAGACTCCTTTTATAAGGTGTGGGTGTAAACACATTGGCAAGCATCGAGGCAAACTTCCTTCTCTCTGGCAGAAAAAGGAACTGTCCTACATAACTAGAGATTATGCACCACTCTACAAAGAAAGACACACAATTCAGTGATATCACTTTCACATTTTGTCATAAAACACTTCTGCATGTTTATAAGTGAAACAAACACATAAAGATACACTTCCACACACGAGAGTCCTTTATTCTCTATTAAATCAGGCTGCCAGGGCAGCAGACATTACAGTAATTCGCCCGAGTGCAAAACATCTATTTAATTCTGATAAGATCACATGGTTTACTGTAGCCCCATAGCATGTGTGGACTTCAAACAGTAGACTATTAAAATAATATCATTTACGTTCATCATAACTTCTTTTTGTTCAAACTTTAGTTTACGACATGCAGCTGCCAGTGAGTTCATTTGAATGACACTGCAGATGCAAAAATGATATGGTATTTGCAGTGGCGACTGGTCATTAGGGGCAGGTGGGGCACAGCCCCACCTAGTGTCAGCAGAAAGTATTACAAATAATGATTACAAAAAATGCAAAAAAAAAAAATATATATATATATATATATATTTTAAGATCATGTTTAATCATCTGATTTGTCTGTACATTGCTGTTTTAGTCTGTGTTCTTCTAATTAGTGTGTCTACAGTCACAGTGTGTGCCTATTGAGCTGTTTAGAGCCATGTGGGACAAAACCTGATCATGCCCCTCCCTCTCACTGTGAAGTGAACGGTGACTGTAAAAACTACACTGCGCATGCTCAGAGTATTTTCCTATTTAATGTGTGTGGCAAAAAAATAATGACCATAGGGGCACTGAGCTGCCATCCCCACCATACATCATCTCACATCATTCAGAGCTGATTGGCTGTAAGTACGTGTGCCGCGAAAAGTGTGGTGTGTGAAGAGGAGACGAGAGAGCTGCAGTGACGCGTCCTAAAACCAGGAAGTAAGCTGCGCATGGCTTCCCTCGACAAAAAAGCAATGAGGTTTCTCCATAGGATTTTAGAAAATAGCTCGAAATAAGATCTGTGGGAAACGTACCTGTTAGATAAATGCACGTTTTGTTCAGCCGGATAACATCCACATGTCTACCCTACTTTTATAATTTTTTAATCATAAATCTATCGATTAGATTTATGATAGACTTTTGAAACTACAAGAAGATAAGGAGGACTTTTACAAAAAAGTTATAGACATTTTTGTCCAGAAGGATAGGCAAATGGACTTCATCTTCAAGTCAAGGTAAGACCGCAATTTTATTGAAAATGGGATCTTACTAAGAGAGAACAATTCAATATTTAAATGATAAAATTACATTTTTTGGGTATCCTTTTGTTGAACTGTCTGTTTAAAATTAATCGAAGCATCAGACAAAAAAAGCTTTTGAAAATAATATTATATTTTGGTTTAGGTCAAAATATAATATTTGTAAACCTGAAGAGTCAGTGCCAGTGTCTCACCAGCCATGAACCTCACTGCACATCACTGCAGAAGCTTATATATAGACATCTACGTTTTTTGTGCCCCACCACTTTTGTACATATGAAAACGCCACTGGGCATTTGTTAGAAATCACAAGTCTCTCCCCTCTCAACCTGCATCACCACCTCTGTCATTCAAGTGTAGACCACTCCCCCACCAAAGTCTTTAAAGCTCCGCCCTTCAGGCCAGTCACTGACTTCCTTCCCACCAGAGACTGTAGATTAGAACAAAGGAACTATCCGCCTTCTAGATTCCTTTTGACCCATACCTATGTTTAAAGAAAATAGTTTAATCCTGTGGATGCATGAAATGATGTAAGTGGAATACTGAACCTTATTTATCATTATTATTATTGTGGTTATTGTAAGACTACTAATAGTTTGTAAATATTCCTTTTTATTTAAAATCATCCAAAGCAGCGAAACCTTTGTCAACCATCATTTGAGAATAAAACGTTAAACGGCCTGCTGGATCAAGTTTTTAAATGTTCACACCACATGGGATGTTCGATGAACCACCACTCCAACAAATTATAGTTTCTTCAGTATTTTTTTATAGAGTACTTTCAATAATACATGAGGGAGTAAACTGCATGGGGCAGAATTCAACTTTGTTACATTTGAGAGTTTTGTCTATTCCTCACACACTATGCTGCCCAAGCCAGGTGGCCAAATAACTGCTGCTTGTACAGATGGAGAAACATCAACTAAAGCAGGGACAGAAGGATAATTAATAGAAGGAGACTAGTTAAATAATTCTCTATTAGAAATAAGAGGCTTTGAGATTGAGTATGTACACAACTGGTGGGCTGGTTTTGTTATTTAGACTGTTTTCAGATGATTCTCAGAGCAAAAACCAGAAATGAAGAGATTTGGTTTCAGCAAGACACAATTTATCTATTTATGGTGCATTATGAGGGCAATGTCAAAAACATTTCTTCATTGCTCCCAAGACTTGCAGCTTTTCCCACATTTTGTTAACACAAGTGGATTTACCAGTCTAAACTCCATTACCAATTTTTTTCAGACACGGTACTGTTTAGGTTCCCCTAAAAGATTTTAGCTGTTTAGTCAAATGTAAAATAAGGTATGGTCCGACCTGTAAACATTATGTTTCATAAAAAACTAAAACAAAACTCGTCTTAAAAACATACTGCTGGATAATTAAGAGTTTCACAAATGTATCTGAAGCAGGCAGAAGCTATTCTCTATTTCAAAAAGATAACATAAAGACAGCATATCATTACATTAAATTGGGTTTAATTTGAATTAAAAGAAACGTGTGACAAACAACATTCATCTGAAGTAATGAATCTGTGTTCTGAGCAGATGATCACACACATTTATTATGTGTAATTGTTATTTAACGCTTGACAATGAAATTATTCTAGGGAAATCAAACAACATATGTTAGAGTTTCATTTGATGGATGTATACAATTATACATGCTGTGTTGTACACACACACACACACACACACACACACACACACACACACACACACACACACACACACACACACACACACACACACACACACACACACACACACACACACACACACACACACACACACACACACACACACACACACACACACACACACACACACACACACATTTACTTGAAAGTTTGCATTGAAATCTTGTATAATAATATATTTGAATACTGTTCATTTACAGCCAATTCTTGATAGACTTTACATAATACAGTTGTGTACTGTAGTTAGCAAAACATTTGAGATTTTCAACATATGCTACAATAGTATTCTGCTGTCAGCTTTATAGCGTGGTGCAAAGCTGAGTAAGTTTAACATATATCGTTTACTTTCATAGTTAATCTGACAAGTAATAGCTTACAACTATTTTCTGCTCTCCATGCTGGTGAAAGGGCACTGTCCAAACCCTGCTGATGCTATTTAGCATTTATGGTTTAAAGGTCCCATGACATGCTGGTTATTACCCGTCCCCTTGTGTGTTATGTAGCTTTTTATGCATGTAAACGGTCTGCAGAGTCACAAACCCTCAAAGTACACCCTGTAGCGCAGGGGTGTCAAACTCAAGGCCCGGGGGCCAAATCTGGCCCGTGACTTCATTTTATGTGGCCCCACAATAGCTTGCAAATAATATAATATGTTTATTAAACAGTTACATTGCGATTTACAGAAGCAAGTTGTCCATAAACTACATATTCCACATTGCCTCTCATATTTGCCTTTTTTCTCAGAATTTGCCTTTTTTTCTTCTAAATATGTATTTTTTTTAATTTGGACTTTTTTTCCAGAATTTGGCTTTTCTTTTTAAATCATTTTGTGACATTCTCACTGAAGAGACTTGCAATTATTTTCCCTAGACTTCTGCTTTCAGACGTAGTTAATTATGAAGTTATTACCCTATCCGATAATAATCCAATGCAGAGGCAATAATGTAATATAATACATTATTTTATATATATTAAATATTTATATATGTATTTTTATATAGTCTTAAAGTTACAACCGGCCCTTTGAGTGCAACCATAATGTGAATGTGGCCCGTGATGACATTTAGTTTGACACCCCTGCTGTAGCGAGTAAAACTCTAACACAGAAAATACCTGTCTATGCTGCCCCAGAACGCCTCGTTGGAGATCTTTATTTTTCCATTGTTTTACACACACACACACACACACACACACACACACACACACACACACACACACACACACACACACACACACACACACACACACACACACACACACACACACACACACACACACACACACACACACACACACACACACACACACACACACACACACACACACACTCACTCACCCTTATCCTTTCTCAGCTGCAGTGTGCAAGTGGTTCATGATGATTACTTGTGTCATTTTCTGGTTGCTAACGCCATTGTAACACATAATCACTGATGGTCAACGGTGGTGGACTCAGAACAGAGTGGGCGAGCTGACCAATCAGAGCACAGTGGGCTCATAGGGAGGAGGGGGTGCAGGAGCTCCAACAAGCCGTTTAGGACAGAGAGTGAATACACATACTATACAGAGATGCTGTATGAGAAACAAATGTGATTTTGGAACATTGAACAATGTAAATCTATTCTAGTAGACCTCAACAATGGAATTATGATCAGTAGAAATGACCATGTCATGGGACCTTTAAAGTGACGTAAACACATGAGTTGCCGAGGCAAAAAAGAGCTGTTGGATGAACCCCTCCCAGTTGAGCATACAATGCAAGATAACACATACACATG